CCATTTCAGAGGTCGAACCGTCTTTCCCAATAAGCTGTCAGGCGGATTTTGGTAGGATGGGCAAGGGAGCATCTCTGCAGCCCCTGTCTGTGCTGTGTTTGCAGGAGCTACATTGGAGATGTGTGTGTCCTTGAGGACATGACGATGCACCTGCCTGTCATCGAGATCCGCATTGTGGAGTGCAGAGGTAGGCCTGGGTGTTATGGCTGCATCTGTAACGTGTCCTGTAAGGTGCTGTGTGTTTAGGGTTGGTCTCTGAGGCTCACACTCTTGGCCTCACTGGTGTTCCAGCTGGGATGCAGAAGATCTATGGGAAACTCTAGAGGGGCCTGGATGGCCAGCACGCTGACAGGAAGCTAGACTCAGTGACTCTGTTCTGCCTGGTTCTGTGCTCTGTCTCTGATTGGAAGTTGGCTCTTCACTGTTTCCCTGAGTTTCTCAGGTGGTGACTAAGCCCCAGGAGGAGAACTGTGAACACCATTGCTCAGGAGCTCTGCAGTCCAGCTATGCAGGGAGCAAAGCCAGCATGAGGCTGGGAAGGTCTTGTCCTTGCATCTCTGCCAGCCAAGGCTTTTAGCTCGCTGGTGGGGATGTGCAGTGCCCTCACTGCAGGGCTCGCTTTCTCCTGCCCTTAGCATATCATTCTTGCTCTTCCTTGGCAGATGATGGGATTGACGTTCGACTCCGAGGGATCAAAATCAAATCCTCTCGACAGCGAGACCTGGGGCTCAGTGCCGACATGTTCCAGCTGGCGAATTTAGTGCGTTACCCCCGCCTGGAGGGCACAGACCCCGACCTGCTCTACCGGCGGGCCGTGCTCATTCAGAGGTGCGTTGGGGAAGGAGCTGGTAGGGTCATGGTGTTGCCTGCACGCCTCCTTGCGGGAAGGGCATCCTGGACCCCTGAGGAAATGGCAGATGCATATGGGGACAAAGTGGGAGCCCAGAATTAGCTTCCTATGCTTTAAGTGTGGGCTTACAGCTTGAATTTTGTATGTTGTGAGTACAGTACAGCCGTGCTGTGCATGGGGCAGGCACACACAGAGTGCTTTGTGAGCTTGTATGATCCCAGGAAACGGGCACTTAGGGCAAAGGTTCTGTGATTTAAGTCTTCGTTGGGTTTTGTTCAGATGAGTTGCTGCTTTTCTGCCTCTAACTGGAATCTCTTGGGCTGGAATACGTTTTTTCAGATTCCTGGCCCTCATATGTGTCACAGCATCTTCTTTGTGATCTAGGTTCATTAAGCTCCTGGACAGTGTCCTGCATCACCTGGTGCCAGCCTGGGACCACACTGTCGGCACGTTCAGCAAGCTCAAGGTGGGAGATTTCTGCCCAGCTCTGGCAGGGTGACTTCAGCTGGGCTGTGGCAAGGGAAACAGTCACTGCCTTCTAAAACAACTCCAGAGACGTATCTTGGAGAGCGTAATTCCTTAAAGCTATCAAAGAC